GGGCCTAGAAGGCCCGGGTTAGGGTTTGGGTGGGTGAACTGTCCGGAGGGCTGCCCGAGGGTGTTCCGTGCATTCGATCCAGAGCTACGACGGCAACCACGACCCCGAGATGAACCGCCACGGTGCCGGGAGTACTGCTGCTGCTGGCCGAAGCCTCCCCCGCCGCTGGAATCCGACCGCCCGCCATCTGCGCTGCCTTGCCGCCGCGGGCCTCCACTACCGGCGTAGAACGCCGTGCCGCCATCCCCCGTGTCGCTCCCAACGCCTAATTCAGCTCGTTGTTGTTCAATTAAGAGAAGGGCCGAGCTTGTTTGGAGAAAGGTCGGGGGAGGCGTTTGGTATTGAAGAAACGACGTTTGTGCTCGAAGATCATCCGGGAGGCCACGCAAGACTTGAAGAACAAGTTGTTGTTCGGAGACGGTGGCATCTACATCCTCTAACCAATCCGCAAGATTCCTTAGGGTTTGACAATAAGCAGCGATGGAGAGAGAACCCTTCGTGGTGGTGCGGAATTGGTGTTCAAGTTGCATCGCCCGGGCCGGCTTGTTGTCGTGGAAGATGTTATAGATGGCTTTCCAAAGCTCGGATGCGGAGTTTTTTGTGGAGAGAACAAGATCACAAATTTCATCATTAACCGTTGAGAGAATCTAACCTTGTATGAGAGCGTCAAGTTGGAACCATTCCGAGTCGTCGGCGCTAGATGGAGACGACTTGCCGGTGACGAAATCACCCAAGGAGAACCTTCGAATGAGGAGGAGGAAGAGCCGGCTCCACTTTTTGTAGTTAGGCTCGGAGAAGCTTAGGAGAATCGGCACGTGGAGTTTCACGTTAGAGATTGTCGTGAACGCCAAGTGTGGAGTTGGGGAAGGGGACGTTGCCAGTAGCCGAGATCTTCTCGGACATGATGATCGGTGAGAGGAGGGGGTTGCTCACCGAGGGAAGGAAGGTCGCCGAGGAGGGACAGCGCCGGCAGCACTGCCGTGGAGGAAGGGAAGGGCGGCGGCTGTCTGCTGGTCGGCCGAGAGAGGAGGGGCGACGGTGCGGCTAGGGTTACGCCTCCGCTAGGTCGGACGAGAGACTTAGAGCAACGAGAGAATCTGATACCATGAAGAATTGTTATTTTCTATTGAGAAATAACGGAGGGCGAAGCCTCGTATAAATAGTTACAGGAGATACCTAACTATGGAAGGAAACCTATACATGTAAACTACCATAATTACAATGATCACATAATTAATATTAAATATATACATAACATATTTAACACTTCCTCCTTCCCGAATAAGTAAGCATAACCCTTGTCATACTCCTAGTTTTGGTTAAAAATTCCTCAAGGTCAAATGTTACTAGAACTGGAGGGGCAGAGCAATTCAAGATAAGGAGTATCCTCTGTACGTGCCTCTACACCCTTCCTAGCCACATTGGCACGTGTGGAGGATAAGGTACGGGAAACTAGGTTGACGTGGTTTGGGCATGTGAAACGGCGTAATGTTGAGGCTCCGGTGCGGTCGTGTGGAGGTGTGAGAGGATTACGATAGTGGGCGGGGTGGAGATAGGTGTAAACCTAAGAAGAATTGGAAGGAGGTGATTAGGCAGGATCTAAGATTTCTTGTGTAATCGAGGATATGACCTTAGATAGGAGGCTATGGAGATCTAGGACTAAAGTAGTTGGTTAGCCTGTTGGGTTCTAGTATTAGTTTTACTAGTTGTTTTGGGACTCAGTACACTCTTCCTTTTTTACGTTGCGCCATCTCCACTTCGTTTTTTCACATGTGCTCTTTTTCTACCCTGATTCAGGCTTTATGTTCTTTTATGTGATTGAGTTAGGGTCTCTTGGAAACAACCTCTCTACTTTCGAGTACGGGCAAGATCTGCATACACACACCCTCCCAATACCCTACTTTCTTGGGATCATTCTAGGTTGTTGTGCTGAATTGGAATGAGGGAGGAGCACTAGGCTCGTTCTAGTACTCTTGTAGATGATGGGTTAAGGCTCCAGCCCAATTTTGATTGCTTTCTTTCAAACTTGAGTTCCATGACCTTTTGCTACACTTTTCTCCCAGAAATAAGATATCTAGTTACTTGGGTTAGGGAATATATATATATATAAAGAACAAATTGTAAAAAGTGGTCAAAAAACTACAAAATACTACTTATGAAAGAAAATTAAAAACTTGTAAAAATGGAGATTAAAATAAAACTAAGCAACAGCAACAACAACAACAACAACCTAGTTGAATCCCACTACAGTAGGGTCTGGGGAGGGTGTGTGTACGCAGACCTTGCCCCTACTCGGAAGTAGGGAGGCTGTTTCCCAGAGACCCCCGGCTCCACCTGCACAAAAATATGGCAGGAAACACAGTATAACACAGATAAAGCACCAAGTACAATGGAATGAAAACACAGATAATGCAGATAACACAGATAACGCAGACCTAAACAACTAAAAGTTATACACTAAAAATACTAAAAATGCACAAAGTTGAATAAAAAGTACTAACCCAAAACCCGATTATCATGAAGCAAATGGTCTATCCCAAAACACCAAAATATAGCTCGGTTTAAATGAAAAGGCAAGATATTTAGTAAGGTCACACTTAGTATGTTCCTGCATGTTAAATATATTATTTATATATTTAATATTATTGTATTATATTGTTACCATAACTGTATCACCTTCCTACTATGTCTCTCCTACCTTAACTAGGATTGAGACTCCTAGTATATATTCACATGTAATCACCACAATTCAATTAATAAAAATATTCTTTCTACATGGTATCGAAGCCTCATAAACCCTAAATTTTCTTCTCCTTCCTGCGCCGGCCTCCCTCTCGGCTCACCCTGACACAGCCGCCGGTCTCTCTCTCTCGGCAACCCCCTGCCACCGGCATCCTCCCCCAATCACCATGACGGACAGTGAAGTTACGTCCCCAAACACCACCTCTAAATCCCCACATCTTGCCTTCACCACCATCTCTAATGTCAAAATCTATGTCCCCATTCAACTAAGCTTTTCTCAACCTAATTATAAAAAGTGGAGCCGATTGTTTCTTCTTCTCGTTCGGCGCTTCAATCTCCATGTTTACATCTATGGGTCTGTCGTCCCTACCTCCGGCGAAGATGATGAATGGTTTCAACTGGATGCTCTTCTTCAAGGCTGGATTCTCTCCACAATCACCGACGAGGTTTCGGACCTTGTCATCTCTTCCACCACCTTTGTAGCCTCTCTCTGGAAGGTGATTCATGATCTCTTTCACGACAATAAACACGCTCGTGCCATGCAACTCGAGCACCAATTTCGTACTACCGTCAAAGGGAACACCCCCATGGCTCAATCAAACCCTTACCCGCAGCCATATAACCCCCCCAACCCACGGCAGTGGTGTACCCCAGCCATAAACCAACCTACCCCCCACCCAAACCCCCAACCCCACAGCCTTAGCACATCATTTTGAAACAATGTCCCTCCGCGAGTCAACTTGGTTTATGGATACCGGTGCCTCCCACCACATCTCATCTGGCCCAGGTACTATTTCTCATGTCTCTTCTCAAACTTTACATTCACCATTATATATCACTGTTGGTAATAGATCTAGAGTACACACTACGGCTGTTGGTAGCCATACCCTTCCAACCGACCCCCCTCTTCATCTCAATAATGTCCTAGTCTCCCCCCACATCACCCATAATTTTATATCTGTACGTCAATTTACTTGTGAAAATAACTGCTCTGTTGAATTTGATGCTCATGATTTTTCTGTGAAGGATCGTCGGACGGGAACCGTGATGCATCGGTCCAATAATGCAGGACCCCTTTACCCTGTCGGCCACCCCGCACCTGCCCAAGCCAACGTCGCCGCTGTCGACCCTCAAACTTGGCACCGGCGTCTAGGCCATCCCAGCCCTGCAGTTCTCCGTGGCATCTCGCACCTTCTTCCTTATTTTTCAAATTCTTTACAAACTTTGTGTCATGCATGTCAATTGGGAAAGCATGTGCGCCTCCCATTTTTTTATTCTATTCGTGTCTCTTATTTTCCTTTTCAGTTATTACATACAGATTTATGGCAATCTCATGTTCCTAGTGTCACTGGTTTTAAATTTTATATGATACTATTGGATGATTTTTCTCATTACTTATGGGTTTTTCCGTTAAGACACAAAAGTGATGCCACTACTCATTTAAATTCATTTGTAGCTTATGTGAAAAATCATTTTAATACTACCATTAAAACTGTACAGTGTGACAATGGAACTGAATACCGTAACTCACCTCTCAAAAATATTTTTAACTCCTTAGGAATTTTATTTCGTTTTTCGTGCCCTCATACAAGCCAACAGAATGGCCTAGCAGAACGCACCCTCCGCACTCTCAACAACACCGTCCGAACCCTTCTTTTCCAAGCTCAACTCCCCCTTGAATTCTGGGTTGAAGCCCTCCACATGGCGGCCCATCTCTTCAACATCACCCCCACCACCACAGTGAATAATGCAATCCTCCACACCATTCTCTACCGCTCCAACCCTGATTATTCCCATCTCCGCGTCTTTGGCTGCTTATGCTACCCCAACCTCACCGCCACCACCCCACACAAACTTGCACCCCGCTCGGCCCGTTGTGTTTTCCTCGGATATCCTTCAAATTAATGTGGTTTTCGTTGTCTAAATCTTGAAACTAACAAAGTCATAACATCCCGCCATGTCATCTTCGACGAATCCACGTTCCCCTATGCCCATCCGTCTAAATAAATATTATTTATTTAACGAGACTCATTATTTTTAATAATAAAAATTGAGATTTCGATCTCTTTAAATGGCTTTCCAAAGCTAATGTATTTTAATTGTAAAAGATGTTTTAATAACAGGGCTCTCGACATTAATCAAGTAAATAAATTAATTAATGATTGGGATGGATCCGGAAGTTTTAAAATAAAGTTCTTAGAAAAATTATTTGAACGTGTCATTAAATTCTTTTTGACTGTCTGATTCCAAAAACGCAAATGGATCTCAATTCGGACCCGTTCGGGGGGAAAACCGCGTACCGTACAGGTCAGATTTTACACAACAGAATAGAAATTAGGGAGATAACTCCCCATTTAATTTCCTTCAAAAACCCACGCCACACCCACACCCTTCATTTTCCCCACATGCACAAACCATTATTTTTTCATTCAATTGCCCATTAATCCTCATCAATACATATTCAATATAATAGCCCCTTCCTCTTCATTTTCTCCACCACAATTGTAACTCCCACTCACACACTCCACTCTCTTCCTCTCCCATTGCATTTTCGGCCAACCACAGCAGCCCAAGATGTGATTCCGGCGAGTAGACAAGGAGGAAGAAGAGAAGGAGGAGTCCACGAGAAACCATTCGTCATTCAATATTGTCAATCGTTCGTTCATTTCGTTTCCGTTTCATCAACCCATCATTTAGAGGTGAGTAGTTGTCCCCTCTAATTATAGAACATTTAGTTATAATCTATGTCGTTATATTCATAGGAATATCATACGCAACCTACGTAGAATCTATGCATGTTCGTAGGTTAGCCATTAAAACGTTACTACGTAAAACATATATATATATATATATATATATATATATATATATATATATATTAGCCTAGGAATCACTAGGAATATATTCATCAATGTTGTACTATTGCTCTAAAAAGAATCTAAGTGTTAAATTAGCAAAACGGATCAAAACGAAGCAAGGGACAGCGGACTGTCTTTGGGACAGTCGACCGCCTCTACGGACGGTGGACCGTTCCCACGGCCATTCCGACGGTCACCACCATGACGGTCGACCGCCGGCCGCGACGGAAGACCACGGTGGACCGCCGGCATTCCAGTCCTCCACAACGTAGCCCACGGTCGACCGCCGGTAGGGTATGTTTGACCGTTCCGCGGGCAGAATTCCAGGCAGTTTGTAGAACGAGCCCCGTTGACCATATTGACTCAGAATTCGATTGTGTGTTTGCATAAAATGTTAATCTTCATTATGTATGTTATTTATTTGATATATTATTGGCGTTGACCAAAGATAAATACATCAAGCATTCATCATGTTTATTCTAGACGCATGTCCTAGGTTCATCATCATGTGCATACCGCTGTAGGGAGGTCAGGCTTTCGTGCGCCTACTACAGTGGGCCCATCCAGGAACCTTTGGGATCCAACGGGTTTTCATTAGGTGGGCTTTGTGTACGTACATGGTAGTCAGGTTACGGCTACCACCCGGTTTTGCTAGTCCACTTGTTCCCGGCTCATTTACCGTTTCGGTATGACAACCGGAGTGCAGGGGTGATCCTGTCAAGTGAGACTAAGCCAGGGTTGTCCCTGATAGTTTAAGCCATGCATCAAGTCATATCGTCATCATGTGGGTTCCATGTCATGTCAACATTCAATGTGATCGTCATCATCATGTATGTTCCACGTCACATCAACATTCAATATGGTTGTTATTCATTTTGTTATGGGTAATAATATCCCATCAAGTGCAAATTAATCAGTTAGTAAACATGTGATTTTCCGTACGTTAAAGTACAGGTATTAATATGTGTATAATCATATGAGTTATCACTTCATGTTCTTTTGTTAGATTCACTCTTCAGCTTTTGCTAAGCGTGTAGTTGTTTTTGCTACACACAGGTAGACATGACGGTATAGATGCCAACCCTGGAGGACATTGATGATGGGAAGATGGGCGGCGCACGAACGAGTTTAATAATTATAATCATTTGAATTAATCAATCATTTGGGCATGAACCCATCAAATATCGTTTTACCTATTTTGGACTTATTTATTTACTTCCGCTTTTACTCTGTATTTATATCACACACGTTTTGGGGTTAACTCCCTAGCATTTAATTCACCAATTAAGCCCAACCGTTTTTCATAATAAATAGACATTAATGTTCTTTTCGTTACGGACGGTTCTAGGACCGCCCATGTAACCCTACCAGTCTGTTGGGTCGCGGGTGAACCGGGTCCACGGGAGGCGGGTGTTACAATCACGACCTTTGGTTTCTTGACGACACGGAGAACGACGCCCCGCTACCCCCCCTC